AAAGAAAGGCTAAAAAATGATCGATTAACCGATTGAATCTTTGACCTCGCGAAGATCATTACAGTTATTCCATATTTTTTATTTTGTACGTAGCATAACAAATGAAGTTAAGTTTTAAAAAATTCTCGATTAAAATCTTTATCTATATTATACTGTATTATATGCTATATATTACATAAAGAATAGAGTAAAATATTTACGCAATGCAGTATAATAGTGTTGACGTGGAGGAATGTAAATCGTTCCTCGCTATAAAGGCAGTTATGGTTTATGCAGTTATGTTCACATTAATAAATTAAAATACAGAATTGTCAGTTAATTAATGATTCTTGTAGAATAAAACGAATTGGATTATTCACAATTGATATTAACATCTTTGATCGAAGATGTATGGAAAATTCATAATATTGCGTCATTTAAGATAAAAATCCAATTTATTGACTTATCGTAATATTTTCTATTGGAATTATCGATCTTAATATTTTATTATAAATGATAATAATATTTTTTCTTTCTGTTAATAGAGCAAATATATCATTGTTATCTATATAAATAGCACATATAATTTCAATTTTTTCTTTAACATTGAAATTATATATTGTTAAAATTTATCGACTGGAAAACATTTAGACCAATAAAGATATTTGAATATTTTATATTTTTGTGTATTCAATAAACTTCTGATCAATTGTTTGAATATCGTTTCAGTTAAAACAATTTATCACATTTACATTCATTATGAAAGGCAGTTATGTTTTGAAAATACGCAAATACATCGAATCAAGCATTATTATTTATTTATATTCAATACATTGCACAAGAGAAAATCATTTAGAAAGTTGCGTCTTTAAAGAATTTTCATTTTGAAAATAATATCTGTAGTAATTTTCATTGGAGTTGCAGTAATAACGAGACAATGTTATACTAATCACTTACAACACTGATGATAGTTGAACGCGAAATGAGAAGTAATCCCGAATAGATAATGAAATTTGAATTTTGTGCTTTCAATCCAATTTTTTGGTTAAGGTTAAGTTCTTTCTTTCAGATTAATGATAACATTTAAATCAATTATCTCATTAAAAAATTTATATACGGGCATTGGTAGAGTCACGCGATTATATTATAATTAAAACTTTTTCTTTTATTTCAAAATTTTAATAAATTTTATGAAAACGCTCCTCACGCTGTACCAATTCAGATGCAAATACAGGTTAATATAATTTTATGAACCTGGACTTTTATGAAAAAAAAAAAAAAAAAAAAAAAAAAATAAAAAAAAAATAATAATAATAATAAATAAATATCTTCTACTCTTATTAGAGAACGTATATTCGTAGAAACGTTAGGAATAACAAAATTGTCCTTTCATTGTTTATATGTTAAACATTGTAATAACCTTTACTTTATGCCCTGAAAGATATTTAATTAAGAAAATTTATATTATACATCGAGTGTGTTTGTTCAAACATGACATTTAAAATATTTCAAGTATAATATTTTTCATATTTTCCACAAAACTTAGATTATATTTTGTTACCTTATAATAATTTGAAAGCTATTTATTCCAAATAACCAAGTTATCGAAAAACTATTGAAAGGCTTTAAATAATATATGTATATATATATATATATATATATATATATGAGAGAGAGAGAGAGAGAGAGAGAGAGAGAGAGAGAGAGAGAGAGAGAAAGAGAGAGAGTAAATGAGAATACGAACATTATTTTATTATTAAATAATGATATTAAACAGTAATTAGCTACTTTTGCTTTAATATATGGAAATATATTTAATAATGCATCACATGAGTTTAATTGTATGATCGTATAGCTTTAAGTACTTGAAAGTCTTTGCATCAATCACCGTACACGAGCGCTAGCCTATAACCTTAACGAAAAAATGTAGATTAAAAATGTCAAGTACTAGCTCGCACGGAATCTCGGAGCTGGGCTCGGCAAATAGTAGCCCAGCCAGCTTAGCTCGAGCTTGATTAACAAAGTGACAAAGAAACGGGAAAAAATAGGGGGGGGGGGAAAGAAATTATGAGCATTATCGGTCATCTCGCGCGAGCTACGTCAAACGTGTCGCGGACGAGTTTTCCAGGAGTAGAAGCAGCGTCAAGGAGGTGGTGAACAAGTAGAGGGTAAGGGTTAATGGCGCTTGCGCCCCATTCGCCGAGATGCTGTTTATTCTCGTCTTCTTGGGCAGCTCGAAGTCGACGTCGTTGGTGTCGAGATCCCGAGGGCAGCCCATCCAGAAATGAGCCGAGGATTTAGGTTTCTTGTGTGCCACCTGCATGCGCGCGTCGTCAAATTGCCAGAAGTGCTTCCCCTTGAAGAAGTACGTCGTGCCTGCGTGCGAGAAGATGAGTCGTTATTATTTTATTATCTCGTGGACACATCGTCACCCGGGCTCATTCGGTCGTATGCGGGACACGCACGACGATAAAACGGCTCTACCCACCCTTTCAATTAACGTTTATTAAAAGTTGGCGAATGCCGACGTAAATGTCCGCGTACGTTGGTATGCTCGTTCAATTGGCCCTTTGGGTGTATTGGTTGAGCATCTTCAGCTCAAGCGCCATTATTTTTGTGCTTAGTTTGTGCCCCTCGCGAAGCCGCGCCACCGCATCACGTGCATTTCATTATAAGAATGCAAAATTTTTTTTTTCTATACACGCGCGACACAATGATCCCCGTGGTTATCAATAAAGATAATTTAGTCTTCAATTTGTACAGGTTGAACGTTTTATATTTGGAAAGAGTATGGGTTTAGTCATTTTTCACTCGCGGTTTAACGGTCGATATTAAATTTATCATCATTGTATGCGAGAACCAAGATCAACATCATTCCACGTGCGGCTTTGAAATGTTAAAACGAAAATACAATTCCGCGAGGGTAAACGCGTATATGCTGGCCTAGGACTCTCGGTGTCCTGCAATTACTCTTTTTTCCTTTTCATTTTCTTTTTAAAAAGCTTCACAGAGCCATTGAAAGCTAAATTTATTTTAAATGGCTCGCGTGCTCGAGTGGGCAAATTGATTTTTTAAGAGCGGAATTTCACACATCATCATTCAACCATTAACATAGTTAATTTGCAATAAACTAAACTTATAATTTCACGAGTCTGCATTAGCATATTATATTTACCATTTTTCCATTGGAAGACCGTATCGATATTTGGTCCAACGCCGGCAAACAGGCTTATGTCTCTCGGATAATCCAGCTCTACATAATTTACACTCTCGTCGAACCTATAAATTATAATGATTATTGACTATCACGGCATGAAAAGTAATGATTTGTAAGTATAACGTCCGTGGTGTAATGTTAGCATCGTTGGAACATTGATACGCGCCAGCCTATCCGAACTTTTGGATCGTTAATAATATTGTGTGGATCGCTTGAGGGTCGATGAACTTTTTTAGGGAATTAGAATCAGCAATTGGGATTATAAAGGGGTGATATAATTAAATGAATGTAGAGGTGTGGTATAGGCTTGGCTGGGGAAGGGTGGATGGGGGGGGGGGTGAGACTGAGCTTGTAAAGCGGATTTTCTGGATAAGGAAAAGTATATCGTTGCCCAAGATATATAAGTAACCGAGCGTATCGGCGTTTGTTTAAATCTTGTCCGGCCATAATTACTTAATTCAAGCGCCAAATTATACGTTAAACGCGTTCAATACGTACTTCCAGTACATGGTGCCGCTAAAGAAGTACGTCATCCTGTTGTAGCCCCAGACCATGGCGGCGTCGATCTTCTCTAGGGAGTCGGGCAGCCCGAGGTCGGTCAGAGGCTTTGGATAGCCCGGCTCGAGGTAAAACGCATTGAAGACGTAGAAGTAGCGCCCGACAAAGAAGATAATGCGATTGTCGCCGATGCGTTCGTACACGGCGTCCACGTGGTCAACTTCCATGGGGAATTTGAACAGCTGAGTGATCTCGGCTGGGAATCCATCGACCAGTCCTCGGTCGTTTAACCTCCACACGTACTGCGTAAGCAAATTAACGTGTCATACTTTTCATAGGTGTGTGCCATTCTCTCTCTCTCTCTCTCTCTCTCTCTCTCTCTCTCTCTCTGACTATCTATCTATCTATCTAACCCCCCACCCCCCTCTCCCGTCCCACTGCCTTACGCAGAGAATTTAAAAATGCGACAATGTACGAAGGTAATAGCCAAGTCCGGCGAGGCAATAAGGCAGACTCGCGATGCTTAATTAGGATTAATTCTTTAATGTGAAAATATTCAGAAATAGGCCAAATTTGTCAATGGACACGGATCCATGTGGATATTTGATATGGGGGAAATTTGTATGACTTACCCGGTCCTTGAATATGAATAATTCGCGTCTAATGAGGCTGATGGCGTCGTAGCTCGTATCGCATTTGTTGGGGACGTCGTTGCGCTTGGGCGGTCGGTGTCGGGACACGGGCGTCGAGCGGCTCGTGGTGCCGACGGTGCCGATGCTCGGCTGGTGCCAGCGCGGCCTGTGTGGCCAGTCGACTT